TTGTGAGTGAAGGGTTCTTGGTACGGGATGACGCTCTTCCTTCTGACGTAGCGATTTAGAAATATATGATGGATTTGTGTATCGTTTCCCATGCTATGTGAACGCTGTCACCTTCACGGACGTCAACTGTATCGCCTCTTTCTTTACTAGCTCGGTTTATACCATCTATCCCTTTAGATGTTAGAGCCACCCCGTTGTTCACAATTGATTCTTTACATATTGCACAGTACTGACGCAGAATTTGATCCATCCTATAATGAGTCACAAGCAAAATAGTGTTCGACAACACAAAAAAGCCTGGTTTTATTTACTGGTTTATGCGATATTTTACAGCCCTAATGTATCTATGGCTTTGAACGCGGTATTATAATGCAAACATTGTATTTGGTAATTAGGTCGCTAATTATAGCCCCCTCTTGTTAGTTTTAACTTAAATTATTGTGACCCACAATATTGACGTATTCATTCATGGTAAAATGTAATAGCAATTAAATAATACATTCATTAACTCATTGTCTTCAAGTTATCTATTTTGCTTACCTTGAGGAGAACAAACAAACGTCACATTTTGATGCCAATAATGAGCCAAAGCTTCAATTTGAAGTATTGAAAGGAAGTCACATTAAATATAATAAATATCCATCTAAACACGTGCAAAATATACGTAAACAAACGTACTTCAAACACGCGTTTGTCTAAAAAACTACCAAGTCAGCGAAAATTAGTACCCAAAACAGCAAGATCAGCATTTTGACGTAAATAAAGGACAAAATATTAATTAATTTACAAAATATCATTATCCACTTGTTTTTAATCTATAATATTTATATTTGTGCTTTACTAAGTGTTCTAAAAGAATAAAATCTAAAACATTAATTTTTGAGCCTCGTTTCCATGTCGCTCAGATTTTCAATCCAAATGCCTCAAATAAAACGTAATTTACACGATGTTGCCGTGCTAGGATTTTGTGCGACTTTCGATATGTTGTAAAGGGATATCAAATATACCAAAATCCGTTGGAATTTCTTTTGTGGAAATTTGTTCAAGCTTAGAGTGTTTTTGGTCGTAGATTGACTGGACTATTTGGAAACAAGCAAACAAAGGCACGCGTTCTGAAAGTCGACGCTTGATTTCCGGCAATAAATAGATCCCGTGCTTTACCTCTTATTTCATTTCACGTTTCAAATAATTTTAAAGATAAATTCATTACCATTTCGAACGAAAACAATTTTTTGGTAACATGTTTATATCTCCAACAAATTTGTCTTTAAATATAAAATGCTTTTTGAATAAAAGTATGATACTTAGTTTACTCAACCGATTAATCGAACGCATGTTTACAAACATAGAAACGGACAATATTATAAAACTATAGTTTTGCTTCCATTATTTCCTTTATAACATTTTCATAGAACCTTATTTGCGATAATACTGTGCGGCTGCGATAAAATGATGTATAGTTATCGCAAAGAACAAACGTTTCATCGTACTCATAACTAATATTTCATGGTTAAACTCGCACCATGCGTTTAAATTAATTTTGAGGTTTTTTTAAATCCACACCGATATTTCAAGAAATAATAAAAGCTCGAACGAAAATAAATACATGCTTACACAACATTTTTCTCACCGTGTGACCATAGAGCGCAAGATATTTTAATATCTACTGTATTACGTTGTTTATGCCTGATATCTATTCGGATTCCAGACATTTAAAATCAAATAGAAACTTACAGAAGTTCTAAGGTTCTACCTTATTGTGATTGTGGGCTTCCCCTCATTCCGTAAAAATCCCCCCCTGGAATTGTTAAAAGACAGACACAAATCGCGTGGAAGCAATTATACTGGGAGTGTATCGAATTACTATAGATGATGGAGTTATTTACAAGTTGAATATCGTGCTGATGTGATGTATTTTGTTTATTCAGGTTTGGTTTGAGTTTTTTTATGTAGAGCGCTTCCTTGAGTTTCAAAGAGAAAGAAGAGTTAGCGGTGTCTAGGATGCGAAAGCAAGAATTGTTTGTAAATGTGCGAGTTTTTGTCAGAATGTGTGTGCTCTTTGATGCGTGTGGAGAGATGGCGAGTTATCTCACAAATATAAGGCTATCTGTAAAACAAGCAATGGGGAATCGGGGAATTGTGTGGAGGAATGGGAAAACCTGGAATGAGAAAAGACGGAATCTCTAAAACCCTGAATGAGAAAAGCCGGAATCTGTAAAACTCGGAATGAGAGAAACTTTATGGTCATTTATGATAACTGAAGTATATATACAACAACTATAACTCCAAATTATGTTAGCCTTTTGATACACTCTCACTTAAATAATACAAATATAACTGTAAATATATATCATAATCATTCCTTGTTCTGAAGATGGCATAAGCATGCCGAAACATCTTCACTTTAAAAAAAATTGTCGTTAACTTGAAATGCCTTTTGAGAAATTATGATTTTAAATACCATCAAAAACTAAGTTTCTCAACGAAAAAACCAGTAAGTCTTTCATCAGGTATTTGATTTAAGATTTTAACTGTTTTTTAAGTTTCCATTTGCAAAGGATTTATTGTGATAAAGGCAAAATTTAAAGCAATTGATGAAATAAGAAAGAAGATAAGAAAATAATAAGAATTATGTATGTTGCTCATCAGTATTCGTTTCAATAATATAGTATTTTATTTGATGTCTCGACTGGTGCAGCATCTACGTCCACCAATCAGTTTTTGCACTTAAGTGGCAAGTTTACCTTGTTAGTGGCAAATGATCATTGGTTTGAATGAGCATGTCATCTTTTACCAAATCAAACCAATACAAACTACAAATGCAACCAATTAAACTCCTTTAAACAATGTTCACTCTGAAAAATTTACGCAATGGCTCCAAACTCGTAAAGGTCGACTTCATACTGTCAAAATATTAATTTCATATCAACTTTACAAAAAAAGTTTATTTCATTAAATCAATTACAAAAAGTTGCAACAAATAAGGGCTCTCGGGTATATGTAGCCCCTGCTAATTTTGACATGTAATTTTAACAAAATAGCTGAAAATTTTCACTTACTTCCCCCTCTACCCCTCGTCATCAAAATGCATTCACCATGTTGTTAGTCAAACATGTAAGTGATACATGGAGAAACTTAATTATGGGCTTACAATCTTTTTTCTGTGACAGCACAGTTGGCTAGTAATGCGTTAAAACTGTTATTACTAAATTGTTCAGCATGGGTACTTGGTATGTGTACATCTGATATTATCATCCAGGTCAGTTTATCATTCATGGTATACACAAAATGTGTGAACAAGGTGTTGTTTCCACGAACAATGGGCAGTACGTAACAATTTTCCAAGCTGTAGGTCATTTGAGATGCCTGTGAGCTGTATGTATTAAACACACCATAACTGGAAATAACATTGGTAATGGATTTCAAGAAAGCACTTTCCTCAAAATAACTGCTAACGAGCAGATTTGGATCAAGAACACTCATCAACGACATTTCTTTCAAAAATGCTTTTTTATTTACACACTGCTTTAATTGAATCGTGCTTTCTTTAGACATCGTCCAAAAGTCTTCTGGAGAGCAACGGGGATACTTCATGTAATGAGATAAAAATAGACAAAAAGCCAAGATAATCTTCTGGTGCTTTTGGATCACCGTACGATCGATTATTTAAGGGATAAAATGTTTCCAATTGCGGGTTTTCTTTATCTTTACCACTAATTAATTCGTAGAATGCCAGGTGTACAGCAGCTGTTATTGCTCCAGTTACTGTACAACCATTGGCTCTGCATGCTTCAACGATTGACTTAGTTTCTGCTTTGGAAAATGTTTTTAAATTGAGGCGCTGCTGTGATTCCGGAGATATTTCTGCAGATTGAAGATGTGAGTATCTTGTGTAATATGGATTGATCGCCTTCTTCTTAAGTACGAAAGAAATCATTTTTCCCAACAAAAAGTCTAACACTGGACGAAGTCCGAAATTAGTAACAATGAATCGAAATATAGAATGACCAGTTCTTTTTTGTGTAACAATATCGTGACCACTAGGCAATAAAGGGAAACTTGTCACTTCCTTGTCGGCATTGGTGACACCACTCGATATCTGATTTATGCAGCTCATAAACTGCTGAACGAACTTGACAGTAGATACGCCATCCAAACACGCATGTTTTACGGAGAACAATATAATGTTTGAATATTCTTGTAATGTTGCATCAAACTCTTCTTGAAGTATAACAGCTTTCCACGGTAAAGTGCATTTATGAACATTTGAAGTATGCTTGTATATTAATTCTTGCCATTCCGAAATCTTAGCATCACATTTTGAGATATCGAATAGCAAAATAGTTTCTTCTATGCTTTTGATGTCAAAGTACTTTTTGCCGTCAGCTTTGGTGCATATTGCAGCTCGTAGCATTGGCTGACGTTTAACTAACAGAACTAAAGCTTCACGAATGTGCTGAATGGAAAGGTTTTCTTTCGACTTAAGAGATACAATACAAGCCATATTTCCAACGCCATTTAATGAATGTGATAACTTATCATTCAAATCCTCCAAAAAGTCAAGCCGTCTGCTATTACCATTTCCAATTTCAATTTCTTTTGAGGTTAGGTACTTCAGGATCTTCCATGTTACAAAAAGACAGCACATTAGCAAAGAAATTTGCGTGAAACAATTGTTACATTCTGTTAGTATAGCCATTGTCTAAATAATCTTTTTCTATTTACAACGCTGCAGATGTTGAATGTCCCAAGACAGTTTGTGCTTGTGTTTGTGAAAGGTCAGATGTTTGAGTGTTATAAGATACCTCATGTATCATATCACAGGCTGGCACGGAAGTTCAGTTACTTCAGTATAGTCCAATTTCACATTTTCACCGACTGCACAATGCACGATCTGTCATCCATTACAACGCTGTTATAAATATCACGGACAATGAGTTTTTTGGGTGAATTTTTTATTTTTAGTTTAGAACTTATATTTTCAAAATGATATCATTTGTTAAATTAATGAGAAAGATTGCATGACTTCAAAATGATCGAATTATCTTCAAACATAAGTGGGTGAATTTTGTGCGGGAAAATGGATAACCACATGTATATTAATGAGTATTTTTTACTTAAAAAAGTAATTGTGCCAAACTACAGCTATTAACAGAATGAAATATTAAATAAAGGAAATAAAATTGAGCATAATGATTTTACAATACATATTAATATAATCTCAATTAAAATCCATATGCTGTAACTCATCAGTGTACCATGGGTCATTTGCTACGTATTTTATACTATACCACAGTTGAATTTGTAGAACAGTTAGTAAGCAATATTTGAGAACATAAATCAATGAAATATTGAGCATGAGCATCTGGAAGAGTTTTATCACTCACTATATTCCAGGTCAGTTTACCATTAATAGTGTACAGGAAATGTCCAAACACGGAGTTTACTCCAGGAGAAAAAGGAAAAATGTAACAGTTTTTCAACTTATAAGTCATTGAATTAGACACATGAAGATCTTCAAAACTAAACCTGCCAAAACTTGAAACAACATTGCTGCTTGATGTTAAATAAGCACTTTTTGTACAATTAGAGCGAACGAGCAAGATTGGACTAAGAGCACTCAACAAAGATATTTCTTTGACAAATTTTTGATTTTCAACAATGTCTTTTAACTGACTTGTGCTTTCTTTTGCCATCATCCAAAAGTCTTCTCGAATATTTTGTGAATACTTTAAGTAATAATTCGAAAAATAGGCAAAAAGACCTATGTATTCATATGGGGCTTTTGGCTGGCAGTATGGTCGATTATGAAAAGGGATTGCTGTTTCAAGACTGAATTTGCTATATTTATCACCTGTCAATTGGTAAAATGCCAAGTGTATGGCAGCTAATATTGCTCCAGTAACTGTACACCTATTGTCTCTGCATGCCTTTATAATTGACTTGGTCTCCTTTTCTGAAAATGTCATCGTATCTGTACGCTGTAATGAATCATATGGTATTTCATCGAGTTTAAGAGGTGGGTGCCTTTGATAATATGGATTGATTGCTTTCCTCCTTAGAGTATACGAGATCATTTGTCCTAAAATAAATTCCAAGACTGGACGAAGTCCACTATAATGAACTATTATGCGAAACAACAAATGACCAACTCTTCTTTGGGTCACAAGATCATGAGCACTAGGCCACAGATCAAAACTTGTTACGTCTTTTTCAGCATTGTTAACACCACTTGCTATTTCATTTATGTTATTCAAAAATTGTTGAACAAACTTCACAGCAGAAACGCCGCCAAAACACGAATGCTTCATGGCGAACATTATCATATTTAAATACTCTTGTGATGTCGCATCGAATTCTTCTTGTAGCTTAACGGCTTTCCAAGACAAAAGGTTTTTATGTACTGTTGCAGTGTTCTTGAATATTAGTTCTTTCCAATTAGAAATTTTAACTTTGGATGTTGTGATATTAAAGAACTGAAGAGCTTCTTCGATATTTTTGATCTCGAAATACAGTTCCCGTCATTTTTGTTGAAACAACAGCTCTTAGCATTGGCTGGCGTTTCGCCAACATTACCAACGCGTCATAAACATGTTTAATAGAAAGGCTTTGTTTAGACGAGAAAGATATAACACAACATAGATTTCCTTGGCCATCACATTCATCTGCTACTATTTCCGTAAACTTCTCCATGAAATCAAGCCTTCTGCAATTTGAGTTACTGATATCCAATTTTCTTATGGTGAATGATTTTAAAATCTTAAGTGCCAGAAAAAGGCAGGCAGTTATCAAAAATATTTCTCCGACCCAATATTGTGAATCTAATATTAAAGCCATGCTTTTGTACGGCTTTTACATTAGCGGGCAGTCAAATAGTCATAACATACTTTTTTATTCAAAAGAGCGGAGTTTGAAACGGAAGTAAAATGCGTACCAGTACGTACCATTACATGGAATTTGAACAAAGCAGCCCGATCTCTGCATGCGAAACTTGTTGTGGTATAAAGAAAATAGTTTCTATAGATTTCAAAACCGTTGCGTTTGACTGTTTGATCCGTTTTCTATTTTTCTGTTTTTATGCTAGGAATTTCTGAAGATATTGCTCAGATATGAATTTCTTAGAACAAAAACCATGGAATATATCTTGTTTGGGCAAATTATATCAGAGATTTTATGCACCACACCCAATACAATCGTAACAGAATCGCTGGAAATATATTCCTATGAAAATTTATTTAGAAAATGGTAACAAAAAAACAATTCAGCATGTCAGCCAAAACTATTATTGACGTGCAAATTTTAATAATATTGTTTTGAATCATGATGTTCAACTCATCCTTTGAGTGATACACTCTTTGTTAAACATTAGAAGATAATTAAAGTGTACAGTGTTGTTGAAGATTATTTGGTATGGTGGAAACTTAAAGCTAAGTATATGAACATATTTTTTCTATGAATTACTAATCATTTCTAATTCTGCATTGTTACCATGCAATTCAGATTGAACCCGACCTCAACGTATTTTTGATACTAGCTGGTGAATTGTTGTTTTGTATGTTGCATCTTTACCAAGATCTTTTATTTATTTTAAATTTCCCGAAAGAGACTAAAATCTGAAAAATGCTGCTTAAATGAAAGAAGAAACAAAGATCGAATACAATTCCAGAAAATTGTTGAGCTTAATAGACTCACAGATGTAAAAGTTTCTTATAATATTTGGATCAAATATTTCTTATTAACTCAGTTTTTCATAGAAAATGTGCGGGCAGTTCTGGAATCTTTCTCCCAACAGTAAATTCATATAAAATGAAATGTCCAATTTGTATGAAAATTAGAAGAAAATAAATCTAACGATACTCAGAAAACTACCACAAAATAGTTGCATTGTCTTTCACAGGCTTGTGTAAACAGAGGAGACGTTTAGAAGTATCAGAGAACAGATCAAAAGTTTTTCCAAACCAAAAGTCGAAGGCAATTTACATCTGCTTGAGAAATTACATTTGAAAATTCTCTTTAATTGATTTAATTAATTATGATCGAATTGATTTGCATAGGCTAATGAAAATTTAACTGTAAACAATCACCACATGCGTTTTGTTTCCTTTTTTGAAAATCGAAGGTAATTTTGAGTAATGTCCAGCTCTGTAGCGTTGCTACACTGCAGATTTACATTTACGGCATACGTTTTGAAAAGTCCGTGAATTGTTCATTTCTTTTGAAATTTCATGATCTCACGCTCAGTCAACACAAAAATATTTGCATATGAAGTAATTCTCCTGCTTCAGAGTATTAAAAGAATAAAAGACTGTTCAGATGAGCGATAATTGATTTTGGCATTGAATGGGGGCAAAATTTCAAACTTAAAAATTACAACTGTTTGTTAAGCGCCAGAAGTCATCCTTGTTGAAATTTTTAAATTGGCCAAACTAGTTGTTTCAATTTTAAATGTTTTATTAAATTAGTAGTTATTAAATTATAGAATACTGTGAAATTTTTCGAGAAGATTTATCTAATTATAAGTATGAAACCGTTTCCATTTGCCAAAGTCATTTAACACCTCACTGAATCCCGGTTAGCCGGGCTCATATAAACAGCCCCTAAGTAGAATGGTCTTTTTTCAATTCCTTCTGGGTTTCATAAGATTTCTTTCCTAACTTATTACAAAAATAGTATTTGTAACTAAAATTTATGAAAAAATTTAACGTCAGAATAGATAATATAAAAGGCATTTTCACAAGCGAAACGTCTTCAATTGCTGGGTCTGCTTTTGTTTCTGTACTTTAAAAAAATACCTGAACCGGACAGGTTTCAATAATTAATTAACTAAATGTCACTAGTCTAACACGACCAGGATTCTCTCTTTGTGCATATTTCACAGATTCATGAATACGTTGCACATCTGTTCTCGTAATGTTATTGCCAGCTATTCCAAGATTACGAAGTTTACAATTTTTATTAGTCAATGCCGTGCAGAGATGTTGCACACCTTCTCTACCAATTCCGTTGTATGAGATTTGTAAATTTGTAAGTTTGCATTCCTCGTTTTCCAGTGCTTGGCAGATGTAGTGCACACCAGCATCTTGAAGCATACAAGAATTAAGAGATAAAAGTTGAAGCCCACAGTTGTCGACAGTCGTGAGTGCATCTCTTAAGTATTTTGCACCATCTTCTTTTAACTCGTTACCAGAAAGATCAAGATCGGTCAATTTGCAGCTGTTCGTTTTCAGTGCTTCACAAAGAGGCACTATGTCACTCGAATTTAATTTATTTGCTTGAAGATGTAATTTCGTTAATAGATTGTTTTTTGTCTTGAGAACTTTACTGATATTTTCGATATCAACTTTTTCCAATTCATTTCTACCAAGAAATAGGTCATTGACTCGACAGTAACGATTTTGAATGGCCTCGCAGAGAGAATTGACTCCTCCGTGGCCAATTTTATTGCTTTGCAAATTTAGACTTGTGAGCCTGCAACAAGGATGTGTTAATGCATCGTAAAGGTTCTGTACTCCTTGGCATCCGAGTCTGTTGGTCCGTAGACTTAGATTAGTAAGTTTTAATTTCTCCTTAGTCATTGCATTGCACAGAGCTGTTGCACCTTCTTCTGTAATTGAGTTTATATCAAGACACAATTTAGATAAAGATCGATTCCTATCATTAAGTGTATTGCTAATGATTGCAATTCCATCATCACTTATGAAGTTTGCAGTCAAATTTAAAGTTTTCAGATTCATGCATTTATTAAGTAAATTTACTAATGCTGTGCAACCAATATCGGAAATTTCATTTCTGGTAAGATTAAGGTGTGTTAAATTTCTAACATTGATAAGAAATTGGAACAACGACATCGTGTCGACTGGAAGAATACTTAAATGCCCTAAATCACATGATAAGTTTCCTTTTCCATCGACTTTATTAGCACATTGCCTAATATTGTTGAAATCTTGCATTTCGTGGAGACACTTGATGAGAAACAAGGCAAATCTTCTTTGATGTATTTCATTTGTGTTGTTTGAGTTCATCAAAGGTTGTATCAAACGCACAAGGCTATATTTAAAAGAAAGGGAGTTGTTTTCTTAATATCTATTTTACTATTGCATATTACTTCTTAGTGGGAAATGTAAATAGAATAAGCATGAAGAAATGGCAAGAATGTAGGGCAAGAGTTCTGTTAACAAGTAGGAAAGTACTGGGGATTTTTGTTACTTTTCCTGTTATTTTGCACAAAACACTTTGTTTGTTAAGGTAAAAAAAGTTTAAGTTTAATTGCAGCCCTTGAAATGGCAAAAGGATGGTTTACTACAATTTATCATATTCTGTTCACATGCAATTCACAAAAAAATCCCAAATTTTTCTGCAGTTGGATATAACAAGGTGAAAGTTTACGAAACTTCCCCCATCCTACCCTTGGCACTCTCTCCAGTGACTGTGGGTGAAGAATTTCAGTGTTGTTTTTTTGCTAGCGTTTCCATAAGCTACCTTTCCATTGCTATTTAACAATGGATTACTCCCGTTGTCTGTTCTGTTATAGATGTAGGGGTATGAGTCAGATGACGTCATTTTTGATTAGAAAATTTGTGAAGCCAGCTGTTTTTGTTCACCCTTACTCTTGGAAAATTATAATGAGATTGGCTAGCAAAAAACAACCATGCCTTGGCTGATCAATTTTCTTGAAATTGTCTTATCCAAGACGAAGCACAGATCAATGCTTGAAAACCAAGTATTTATTTTTCTTTTTGCTTAAATACGTCATTTGCTTCAACCAGATCTTCATATAATGTTTACATCTGGCTATTCAGAGATAAATAATTCAGGTAAGTGCTCAGATACTTTCAACGTTTGGTGGTAATCTTAAAACAAGCAATTTCAGTCACGTAAATTCAGTGACCTACTGTTTCTTACTTTCAGAATATAATAAACAAGCATGTGTTCTGACACTTTACAATTTTAACGCAAAAAGGGGGAGCGATTAAGAAAATTAAAGTTTTAGTTTTAGTTCATTTTAATTATGTAGCCTGTATACCATATTGAAAATTTAAGGTAAAACAAAATTGACCCTTGCCGTTTGTTGTCTTTGAATATCAATTGGAATTATTCCCTTTAGTAGAGAACCAGGATTAAGTTCACCAGGGTCTGCATTTTCATGAACAGACCAATATGTTTTAAAAAACGACATATAAAAGTTTAAGTGCATAAACACTTAAGCTTAAGTGTAGAATGTTCTTTGTGAAATCAAGATTCATTCGGCAGAATCTAGATAGCATGAACTGCGGTTCTAAATCCAGAAACGTCAATTGTATATTGCATGATCTAGAGTGTTAGAACGTTAATAATAAGAAAACATTGTCAGGAACAGACATGGATAAAACAAACTGTTGTTTAGATCTAAAACGGTGTCTCATCCTTGTGAATGGAATTTAGACTCGACTGTATCATGTATTTTTTCTACTTAAGTAAGAAAATTATACCAAGTTGCCACAGAAGCAAGTTTTGAAAGATCAAACTGTCAGTCAAAAACATAAAAAGTGTTGTAAAATGTTCATATTCGGACTGATACTAATATCGAAGAGGTCAGCTCTATGAATTGTCAATATCAGGTTCTACGAGAGCTACAATAGTCAACATACCTTGGGCGAATGGTTTCAAAAGGCACATCTATTTCATTCTTTCTAATCTTTTCAGCAAGTAAACCAGTAGCAAACTGGAGCACCAAGTGCCACCTTGGTTTGTCCTTGTAACTTGACAAAGAGCTAATAAACAGCCTTACGTCCATTGTATTCTTTATCTCATCAACAATTTGCATGGCTGCAAGAAATTCCTGTATTGTGACATGAAGAAAACGATAATACTGCTCAGGTAGAGACACAAGTAAACCACAGCTTACGATCTTTTGAGAAAAATCACTAAATTCCAGTTGAAAGCTTGCTTCCTCTGACTCCAACTTCAATTTTGCTAATTTTTTTAAAGTCTTCATTAAATTTTCAGGCGATTGTGGTATACTGGAAGTCAGGTAGTCTCTAGAAAACATTCCTCCAAATGATCTTTTGTAATTTAGTTTATCCCATATAATAACTCGTATGGCTCGTTGATACAATTCAGTGATAGTCTTTGGAAAATACTTAGCCCGATATTGAATTGTTTCCTTCTTTCCACATTCAAGGCATTCTTTCAAAGTTGAACAAACAAGCACACAAATTGCAGGCACGTAACATAAACTTAAAAACTCTGGACTATTTTGGATTATTTCCCAAATTTGATCACTAGCAAGGTCTTGTTTGCAGAATCTTTGGATATAGCATCTAATTTCGATCTTGGAAAAACCTAAGACTTCCAAACACGTATCAAACCGTATCTTAAAAGCATAACATATGTTATCAGTTTGATGAGAATATCTCGACGTTGTTAAAATTGTAGCACCAGGAAGAAATTCGTTTTTTAGTAACTTTATGTAAATTGAAAACATTGGCATTGGATCCTCGTAGTCCTTTGTGTCGTTATCTAACTCTTCCGAACATTGAACATTATCTACTTTGATATCATCAATGCCATCAAAAATTATGAGAATTTTTTCGGGGTTTGCTAAGACAAATTTGTACAATTCGTCGAAATTTCTTCCTGGCTCTATTCCATCTCCGTGGCTTAACATTTTCTTAAATGTGGTTGCCTTATTTCTTCGGAACATTCGAAATTTGAGAAAAATTACCACTTTATTTTCTATGAATTTATCTTGCGCCCATCTGTAAAGAACAGATTTAACAAAAATAGTCTTGCCTATTCCAGGACGACCAACGACCATGATCTTGCCGCTTAAGTTAAGCAAGACTGGCTCCTCAGTTTTTTTATTTGCAGAGTTGCTGTTGTCATCAACAACAATCTCAATTTGATCTAATGGGAAAAGGTGAACTAGTGGTGACTTTAGGAAAGGTTGATCTCGATTAAGGTGTACGTTGTAAATTTCATGTCTTTGTGAGTACTTGCTTTTGATTTCATTAACCTGAAGAAACCGGAAATGCAAGTTTTCTAATGTTTGTCCATTTTGATCTAATCCCAAATTAATATTCAAAAACTGTTTGTCAACTTTGAGTGTCTTCCGTAGCTGTTTGATTATTTGACGAATCGTCAAATTTCTTTTTTCAAGCAAATATACAGAGCAGAACTCTAGATCGCTTGCAAAATCACTGCCCATCTTGTAGTAACACCGAAGTAAATATACAACTTCGATCAATGCAGCAAAACCAATAACGCAATCTGCCCAAAGGACTGAAGTCGCAAGTGTTTCAAACTTTTCTCCTAATGGATTTACACAATGAACTGTTGAATTTGATAAAACTTTTTCTTTTTTGGATTCTGCCAAATTTCCCTGATTGGTTTTGTTTTCAGCAATGTTTAGTTCAACTGGATATGAGCACTGAAACTTTATTGGAAAATTTGCGGAGTGCAGAACAAGAAGGAAGAGAAATATTGGAAAAATTCGACCAATAAGTAAATGCAGTATATAGAAAGGAAATACATACAATCGCTTTTCCTTCTTTAACGATTCTTGACCGAAGTCTTCAATGCTTCTGCTAGATTCACTTTCAAATTTTTCCACAATCGAATTTGATAAGCTTACATAAGCGACAGAGAATAAAAACATAAGTCCAAAATTCACAACGACGAATGTGGCAACAGACATTGATCGATGGTATATCTTTTCGTATTTCATATAGCAGTTTGTCGTAACAAAGTTCTTCGCATTCAAATCTGAAGCTATGGTTTTGTTAGGATTACAACGAAAGCTTTCCTTTTCGTTAAGGTTTGTAGCAAATGCTATTACGATGGCGGCAAGCACGGAAATTGATATCAACATAATACGTCCGTATGCGTTGTAGCTTTTAGGTTGCAATGGAATCACGGATTGCCAAATGTCCATTTCTGGCAAATTTTGGTTTTCTGGCAAATTTTGGTTTTCTCAGCAAATAATATTTGAATCATTGATTTAGTCTGATATATGTTATGCTAAGCACAAGCAGAATATTTTATTTGTTGCCACCAAAAATTACCATAAATTACCATCACTATAGTGGTCTCATGCAGTCCATTGAAACTTACACCCAAACATTATAAGCTTTATATGTAAACGCGAATGCCGATGCTTTCGCTTGCATTATTGATTGACGTTGCCAACTAAATTAAGCATCATGTAGCATATGTAATTATGATCTGTTCTTGTTCGTTATGTTCTGTTCTTGTTCGTTTTGTCTTCAATTTGACTCGGTAATAATAGCCTGCAGTAGCTCAGCCAGCACGACTGTTATTTCCGCTATGCAAGTACTTTGATGTTTACAGACAGTAAAAATGATCGGATATTACAAATAATTTGGGAGGCAATGTTATGAAGGCCCGTTCTGGTCAAAAATACCCAAATTATTTAAGGGTTTAGGTAAGTTTTCTTTGTACGGTGAAATTGTTTTTTTCATACAATGTTATTAGTTTTTTAAACTGCCCAATTATTTTTCATAAGGTTATTATTTTTCTGTATAAGTAATTATTTTTTGGTTCCATGATGCATTGCGCGTGTGTACTTAGTATAGTCTGATAACTGATATAGATATATAGATATAGCCATTGCTATTGCCGTGCCATTTCTTAAGTATTCTATAGGTAATATACTTTATGCACAACATGGCTCATGATAGTCGTGTCCACGAAGTAGCTCAAATCACCAGAAACGCTATTGAAGAAATAGAAAGAATTATACGGAGAACTAATACACAAAACGTAAATTTAAGTAATCCATTGCAAGTGTCAAATCAAAGAAGCAGGATTTCTGCCGGGCAAACAGTGGTGTGTAAATTACGACGTAAATTTCCTACAATAAATAGCTCATCGTCTAATACGAGGAACCATGAAAGAAATGTTTCTATTGGGTGCACTAGACGAAACACTGTCGTAAAAGATCTTATTTTTGTTGTCTCTCTTACGGAAAGAGCACCAGTTGCAAGTCACGATCGCTTGGCTTTGGAGCAAGAAGGGCGAGTAGTAGGAGGATTTAGCATTGATAGAGGATGGTCCGAAAATCTCTTTATGATAATGTCAAAGCACAAATGCCCGAAAAATGTAGAAATTTGAATTTTAAACTTGTAAAAAATGTTGGTGGGGTATTGGTAGAGCCACACTTGCAACAAATGTTAAAATGGAAGCAAAAGTTCTTTTGAGATCTGTAGCATGTACGAGTTGTGTGTACGCGTGATTTTTGAGAGACGATGACATCACCAGTGATGATGATACCGTGTTAAATAAAAATCCTTTTGTAGTATATCATGCTGAAATAGGTGAAAGTATAACATCTTCATCTAACGCAACGAGTAATTGAAGAGGCACCATGGAATCAAACAAAATAGTCCCACTGTTGATAAAAAGTATATAAGCAAAATAGTGGTAAAATTGTTGAAGAATTTGATATAAACTATAATCCAACAGATATGCTTCCAGTTGCACAAAACAAAATTTTAGCTAGACGACCTCATGAAATTACTAATGTCAATACAGAGATAAGTGTGAAACAAATTTCTTATTAGTAGGGAGAGAAAGTATTTTTGATACTGGATTAAATGAGATTCTAAGCATAGATAACTTTTGCTTGCCTTTTGAATTAAATTTTATTAGCGAGGCTGCCCAAGATTATCGTGGGCATCGAAAGGAGTTTTTTCGTTTGGCACTAATTTGTATAAAAGAAAAAATGTTTGATGGTGGACTGCGCACAGAATAAGAAGACAAATACATTCCTTGTAGTACAGTAATGGCTTTGAGTGTGTTGCAAAATGGCAAAATACCTCAGTTCATGATTGAAGATATTTTGCAAGAGATTGTAGACATAACTCCTTCACCATGCATTCGGAGTCTACAAAAAGGAATGGAAAAGGTTGGTTTGTTACAACTAATACGCAAGTTGCCTTCACTCCACTCCTTCTTCTATTTCGCCCTTCACTAGCTGCTTAGATGAATTTCAGAAGATTAATGTTTCTGCTACTCCCTAAATTTGCTGAAGAAGGTATAAATGCACTACAGCGCCAAAAAGAGGTATACAATACTTTTGTCAGATATTGTAGTGAAGTTAATGCTGGATGAAGAGAATTAGAAGAAGTTGAAACTTTGAATGTTGGCCATATATTGTTGTTTGTCTGCGCAACTGAGGAAGAACCCGTTCTTGGATTTGCAAAGTCTCCTGAAATCAATTTTCTTGAAGTTTTCAACTCCTTTTTACCAACTTCAAATACTTGTGCAAGCACCCTGAACCTACCACATGCTAGTATCACCAAGAGTTTACCATTGGATGAAGTGCTTTTTGAACTTTATGATTATGAATTTGCTAATGCATATTTGGTAATATATAAATCCCTGTACTATTTCATAAACAGTTTGCAAATTGCCCGCTATTAAATTTTACTGCCCGCAGACTGCCCGCTATTAAATTTTACTTCTAATTAGAAAACTCATTACCAGAGATCACATGATATTTGCAATTTCTAATGACGAAATTCATTGTAAAGATATTTAAAAAGTTCTTTGGCATGCTAAAACATTTGTATTTTATATTTTCTTCATGTACTGCTGCTAGTATGTTGAGTTCCATAGGTAATGTGTTCTAGTGTGTTACTTCAGTTGTTTAGCTTGGTATGATTGAGTAACTTGTCGTCGCCTTTTTACAATCAAGTAGAAGGCTACTTTAAGGTAACCATGGTAACCCCATATTAGGAAAGATGACAGATTAAGGTTAAGTAAAATTAAAGACATCAAAATATTTGAAATACATTGATTTAATTTAAATGAAGTATTATAATGAATCATAATAATCTACCATAGATCTATCATAATCTTTTTCTTGATAATCTATTTTACTTATGAGTTCTTGAATTCTCAATCATTCTTTTTGATCTTTAATCCCATGAGAATTCTTGACATGACTTGAAGTTGTTTCTTTTCAAACGAATCATCTTTTTTCATGAAGAGAAGTGGTACTATATCAATTAATCTTCTAAGAATGGCATCAATGTTGATCTCCAAAATTTAATGCGAATTGATCATGATTATCATTAGATGCAATAATAACTATTTTACTATCAAATATGACAGAACCATAATTAAATTCTACAAAACAATCTTTATTAGATATTACAGTTATTAAGACTTGTATTCCATCTGTAGGATCACGAACAAAGGATGGGTCATCAATGAATACAGCTTCTTGATTATCATACATTTCCCACCATTGTTGCATTCCGGTTAATTTAGTATTATAATCATTAACTATTTTCTCATCACCCAAGACTCTTAAACAATCCATAATTGTTTGAGTTTTTCCTACACCAGGTCGACCATATACAAAGACACATGTTGTAAGACCTTTTCTATGAGGTATAAACTGCATAAGTTGACAAATTCTTTGAAAATATTTAGGGAAATCTTTAACAATTTGACTACGTCTTTCTCCCTTCTTTATTCAATGAAGAATTTCTGATGACGTTGTTGTTTCAGCAGTTTTGTCTCTTTTTGACAGGTAGTTCATTCCCTGTAATGACATTTGGCATACCTCCTTGCTTACGAAATCATTGTCTCCATCGATTTACCGCTTCTTCAAGTGTGTCTTCACAGCTTAGATAAATTTTTTCAAAATATTTTTGATTTTTTCGATAAGAAATAGATTGTAATTTTAAACTACTAGAATACTTTATTGTTCCATGAAAATGTACAATAGGAAATTCTCCATTTGTTAATTCAGGACCACTAATTTCAGCAAATTCAACTCTATCATCATTCTTTACGGATTCGATTAAACTATCTTTCATGAATCCATATATTGTGAATGCGTACCAGACACCTCTTTCTTGTGGTTGTTGTCTTTTTCTTTTACCAACATGTCCCAAGTCTAATTCATTTTCAAATTACATTATCCTGATTGACTTGAAGTAGAGTCTACGTTTTCTTCGTTAATAGGTAAATTGTCATCGAGAGCTATTCCATTCTGTAAGAAGCGTGGATTCCTGAATGAGACTTTTACTTTGTACATGTTAAATATACCCCATCCAGACGCAGGTAATGATGGCGCAGGTATCTTCTCTATTCTTGTGATGTGACTATTTCATTTTAATGTCGTGTTTCCAACCGGTAAAACAGTTGCAACATAGTCGTCTTCTTCCTTGAATGATTGTATTGAGGTAGACGCCATCAAGGAGAAGAGGGCCCGACGGAAGCAACGCTCGGCCCCTCTTGTCTCGTACCCCTGCTGCGTTTGCGGCCGTTCGTGTGCATCACAAATTGGCTTCCATTCACACATGAGGTCCCACTCTCGCAGATAGACCTGCATGCCTACTCATCTGTCGCCCCGACAAGAGAGTCCATCATCATCATCATTGCATATAATATTTTGGTGACATCAAATGAACATTAGGTGCAGTATCAACAACAGCAGAACGACACCAGCTTCAATTTGTTGAGGATTATAACCCATTGAAGGAAACAACATAGGTGTCCATGTACAACCAGGTAAAGCTTTGGCATTTGAATGAGTATGTGATTTAGTAGGATGTCTCCAAGGACACATCAAAACATTATATAAAATAGGACGACCATTGTATGATGATCCAAATGTACTTCCATAAATCCATACTTCGTATGATGATACTACAAATTCAGCAAACATTCTCCATGCTTCTGTACGAGTAGCATTTTGAATCATTTCAGGAGTAATAACATGCTCTTGTTGAAAATGAAATTCTGTAGAATTAAGTTGAGTTTTTTTATTTGAAAATATTATCGCTTCCCATTGTAATTTTCCACCAGCATTCTGTCTCAATTGTACTCCAGATGGATCTTCTTTTTCTCTGTTATTCATAAAGGGTCTTCTTACAGTACCATCTAAACCTGAATCTGAATCACCAGAATGAATACGTTCTCTTGTTCTTTCTGTATGTGTATTTGATAGAGGTTGATGTTGTCTTCACTGTCCAAAGATTAGAGGAAACTAATGAGTC